CCCTTTCGCCCCCCCCCCCCCCATCTAAAAGAGCTCCCTACCGCCCTGTGATGTTAATTGAATTATCCTTTGTTTTTTTAGCATAATAGTTTAATACACATTCAAATATTATTGGGCAGCATGAGGAAATTTCGCTGCTAAACAATGCCAATGGTATAAGCTTCTGAAACAACAAAAAATCGATAAATGACCGTAAAGAAGTGCCTGTTGCAAAAAGTTGACCCCATACTCCCTTAGTATCCGACTATCCGTCAAAAAGAGTGTATAAAATGCGTATGTTGTGACATATAAGATATTATTTTTTTTTATACGTGAAATAAATATGCAAATCGAGGTTGGGAGGAGATCTGTGATCTTGTGCCTGAGTTCTTCTTCATATGAAAGTGTTTAAAGAAGTTGCATGAATTCATTCCAAAGTTCGTTAAAACTTGAAATTCATCTAGTTTATATGATGACATTTGCGTTACTATTGTTCCCAGTAAACTGCGAAACGACCGTTTTTTAGGCGGTTTGTCAGTGACAGTTTTGTCAATTACGAAGGACATATTTGTGTACCTCGTGATCACAATTCGTTGCAAGCGGCGTGTGAAAAACTGCAAGCCCCCCCCCCCCCTAGTGTCCGCCACTGATTAGCCGACAGCAAATTCAGCTTTGACAGTAAATTCAAGTTTGTGGTTAACGTTTGCAGTATAAATTTTACACATGGATCCTGATACATTTTATTTCTATTTTTATAATATGAATTTTAATACACATGCTCTTGAAAAAAATTCTGCATATTTTTACAGGGCCCACCCTTTATTAATGATTGCAATTAACTTTCAATGACCCACCCCTTGCTCAAAAATAGTGACCCACCAGGCCCACCCCCTATTTTTCCCAGCCCACCCCCCTTTTACTTTATGACTGGTCCCTAAGTAGTTTTCATTTCCAACAAGCAAATTTGGCAAGTGTCTATTGGCTGATTGAAATCGTAGTTTGTGCGCCAAACTTTAGTGAAACTCACATGCAACATTGCAATTTGCAACTATACCATAAACAGAGATGGATTTTCATATTTTCGTTCGTTGGGTGGATAAATATCTGGGGGGGGGGGGG